AGTAAAAACAATGGTCAAATGACTGGCAGCTACGGCTGCCAAACAAAAACCGTAAAATTACAGTAAAATATCTTAATTGAAATAAAGTGCAAAAACAATAATTTTACAGAAATTTTCATTAAAGGTTTTACAGAAAAAAAATATTATTTTACAGCTTTTTCTTTGTTTCAATTATGATATTTTACTTTAATTTGACTGTTTTTGTTTGGCAGCCGTAGCTGCCAGTCATTTGACCATTTTTTAAGCGGCGTTTTTTTTTTTACAGTGTACACAATCGTCCCTTCATTTAAGATATGGATACATGGAGTAAAATTTTGGCCAATAATAAGCTGAATTGTTTTTATGTTATGGCCAATAATGAATAAATGACTTATTAAGAATCTGTACTATTTTGTCTAAATACATTACCAAGTTTGGGTCAGTAAAGAAGTCGCACACTCAGCAAAGCTGCATTTATTTGATATTTCAATATTTTAGAGAAAACCACAAAATACATTTTTCAGAATTCTTTGATGAATAGAACGTTCAAAAGAAAAGCATTTCTTTGAAATAAAAATGTTTTGTAACTTTATATGATTTTACTCTCAGTTTTGCTCAATTTAATGAGCCCTTTCTGATAAAAAGTATTCATTTCTTTAAAACAAGGACATTTGAATTGAGTCTGTCATTTTAAATGCTGCAAGTGAATTTCGACATCAAAACATCATAATGTACAGTCTGTAAAATGGATATTTATTATAAGACTGGCTAAGGCTAAGTATTATATTTAAATATTATATTATATTTTTAAATTAGCAATTAAATATCCCATATTGACAGAAACCATTAAATGAATAAATTAATATTGTTGATATGATACCAATGGATTGTGCTTTCCTAGTTAAAAAACAAAAAAAAAGCCATCATATTAAATAAAGTATCTCTTCTTACTGGGAGTTTTGTGAAACTCTTAAACCATTAAAAGAACTGTAGCACAATGTGGCCAGTTTGCTTTAGTATTTAACAACTGTAATCTGATTTGCAACCAACAGTGTGAAGTATAAAGGTGATATCATGCACTTGGCCAAGCATCATGCAGTATTAATGGCCAAGTCAAAAATAGCCACTGTCCAGTGACTCCCAGCAGATGGGAATATGTGAACAAGTCCACAAAAACGAGCCAATCCACACTGAACAACACAGGGCCGGGACTACAATAATGGGCCATTATCAGTCAACGCCTGGGGCCTAAACAAACACCAGTTCTCAGAGATAATGTCTCATGTACGTCAGCATGCGTGCGGCCTGATAAC